GAGATGCATGCATGAAAGCATGACGAGCTAAATCGATTTAGTAATGTCCATCTGTCCGCCTATACATATAAAAACTAGTCTCTCAGTTTTTGAGATATCGATCTGAATTTTGCACCCGTCTTTTCCTCACCAAGAAGCTGATCATTTGCCCGAACGGCCGATATAGCTGCTGTACAAATTGAACCAGCAGGATCAAGCTCTTGCAGAGGAACATTTTTCATTTTTCATCTCTACAAAATTCGGCATTAGCTATTATCGAAATTGTTCAGATGGGATTACTATAATATATAGCTGCCATAGAAACTGAACGATTGCAATTAAATTCTTGTAAGCGTTTTTTTTTTTTTGTAATTGTGAAGGGTATTTCAGCTTTGGCGGAGTTAAAATTTTTTTTAGTTCACACAATATTGATTCAGAAATTTTTTCCGTTGATTGCATTTTTTTGATTACCCAATAACAATTAATTATGCTTCTGCGTGATTGTGCTATTATAAACCGCCTTGACAGTTGTAGTGATGACATTATGTTTAATGATTTTTATCATCAAATTTTAATTTTGGATTTTCCCTGAGTACATTTTTGGTAAGCAATGAGTTTCGAAATTAGCTCGATGTAGGAAGCTTGAAAATAGGTGAAAATTAGGGTTATGGTCGTAAAAAGACATCGTAGTATCGAAAAATTGTGTATAAGGGAATTCGTTGATGAAGACTCGAAGAAATGGCAGTGTTCTAAAAATTTATTGGTTAGGTAGAAAACTTCCCTGTACAAAAGTTCGTAATAAAGAAGGAAGTTGGGCTGTAGTAAGTATTTCTGATATATGTATATAGCATTTTAAGATTTCTGAAAAACAAATACTTATTATTAACAGTTATGGATGTTTTATGACTAACTGTGTTTTTGAAAATATTTTGAACACAAATTTCACTTACAGATGGCGCTGTATATATGAATTTTCCCAAATCTGCATTATAAACATTTTTTTTTATTAATATTGTGAACGCAAATTGACGAGCTTATATAATTTCTGTCAACACAATACCTTTTATGACCATTACTTATTAAAAATAAATAATTTTTCCATATGCATAATTTTACTTTTCTTCTTCTTTCTTTCAGCGCCTGCTATTTGCCCAAGCAACAACATTTTCAACAAAAACAAAAGCAGATCAGCCACAATTTGTATTTAAATTTTTCCTGTTTTCCCATAAACACACATAACGCTATGTTTCTGCATGAAACTGTCACCACAACTGTGGTGACTCTGGTGACATTTGCGGTTGGAAAAAGTGGATAACGCTTGAAACTGCTTAACATCAAAATCTTGTACTAGTTACTAAATAAGATTGAATGAAATTAATAAACTTGTTATTAGTCGCTTGGCGATTAGTTGGTGGCCTTAAGCGCGTTGTGATGTGGACGCCGCCGTCGTGGCTGCCAAAGTCATGCCAACAACGGCATATGCGCCAAATTTATGAATGAAATGGGTGCGTGCGCATGCCAGCCAGTGGGTGCTGCCGCTGCTGTGGCCAGTGAAAGCAATGCGAATAGTTGTGTGGACACAATGTGTAAAATATAAACTTTTGTCAATAATACAGCTCGCGGTGTTGATAAGCAGCGCCAAGCCAAGAGCGCCATCGGCAACACAATACAAGTGCGTGCATGTGTGTGTGTGTGTGTGTGTGCTTAAGTGAGCACTTCGATGAGCATTTGAGTAACTAGACACCACTTATTACAGCGGCGGCGGCGCGCACACAGATCGCCTGAGCTTTGTGAAAGTCGGATCTCACCACTTTTGCTAAATCAACACAGCGCTTGGCTTGACTAAAAGTAACTCCGTAAGCCGCGTTTGTTGCAATCCCAGCTCATTCGATGTTTTGTTTGCAAAGTGCGAACGTAAATTATACACAATCGGTCGAAATTATTGATGTGCGAGTTTTACTGAAATCTTCGGTATGGAATATTGTGCGCGTTTAATAAGTGTATTTTTTTGAAAATGTGAAAAAGTTAAAAAAAAATATTGGAGTTTTTGTGTCATAAACTTGTGAACAAGTGAGAAAAGCGTTAAATTCTTTGTTATTAGCAAAAAATTAAAATATTTTAAAAAATATTAAAAAATTTTAAAAATTAAAAATAAATAAAATAGTTGGGACTAATAAATATGTACTTAAAATAAAATACATAAAAAATCATGTTTACAATTTAAAACGATAAAAGTGCACCCAGTGAGTAGAAGTACAAAATTAAACGGTAAAATAAAGACTAACACTAAATGTACATTATATATTAATGAACAGAAACTGAAACTTAATACCTCTCTAATAAATATAATTTAATTTCGCGCTTTTATCTGCTGTTGTGAATTTGTCATCTTTATGGCATAATTTCTGAAAAAAGCCTATTTTTTGTAAATTAAAGTAACCTCGACAGAAATACATATGTATAAGCAGCCCTCAGTACATGATTCTTATTATCGCATAACATGGTGGAAAGTAGAATAAATAGTGGTTTAATTTTTTCAATCCTAACTTTTATTGTACACAATACGATTACTGTTTGGTAACATTTCGTCATATTTTCGAAAATTACTTCTATGGTAAAAGAGTTCCCCCTCTACCGAAGCTTAGCAGGCTGGAACCGGAAAAAAAATTTGTGCACATTCTTCCCCAAAGCTGTCATAAATTACATAGTTTCCTCATCGGTACTAAATTTCAATCGAAAATCGAATTATGAAAACATTGATTGAAAAAAGTGGTTAAATTTCCGGTAAACATTCGGTTAATGATTTCATTAATTATTCGCAAAAAAATTTCCTCTAGTGCAAAATCCTCAAATATTTAGATAAAATGGAGGTTTAGATTTTGTTGCTTGCGGAATTGTTTCCAAATGTTTTGTCGCCGAAAGAAAAATTTACCGATTAAAGAAAAATGCGCAACATAATTGCATGTGCGCGAGGACGAGCTAGAATATTGTTGTCAATTTGTTTGAACAAATAGCATAATTTGTTCGATTAACTACTCTCCAACGTTCCCTACTTTTTTAAAGAAAAAAAAAAACATAGAAATTTCGTATTTAATGGGGAATGTTTATTATCTTTCGAAAGAACATTGACATATGGCCCATTCGTTCGAGCATTTCGACTGTTAACTGGGGAATGACGTGTGTGATGTTTTACTCCAAGACCTGAATCGAAGCGGGATTGTCCGCAGAGACTTAAGACTTTACACATTCCCACAGAAGAAATTCTAACGGTGTGCCATCTTATCATCTTGGTGGCCAATCGACCGGCCCAATATTTGAAATTATCTGCTCACCGAAGTGTTCTCTAAAAAAACCATTGACTGATGCGATGTGTGGAAAGTGGTACCATCTTGTTAAATCAAATGTCTTCAAAATCACGAGCTTCAATTTCAGGCATCATTGCCATTGAAGGTTACGTTCTCACCGGCAGAATTTTGAAGAAATATGGGTCGATAATTTCACCAGCCTACGAACCACACCAAACCGTTCTTTTTCCTATATGAAATGGCAGATCTTGAATCTCTTTAGGTTGCTCTTCGTCACAAATGCGACAATTTTGCTTGTTTACATAACCATTGAGCTAGAAGTGGGCTTTATCGCTGAACAAAATTTGGCTCCAAAAAGTCGGATTTTCGCGGAACCTTTCAACAGGCCATAGAGCGCAGCGATGTCGCTTGGAATGATCGAGTGGCTTCAGTTCTTGCACAAGTTGTGTTTTTACGCTTTCAATTTAAGATCTCGACGTGTCCACAGCTAAGGCTGCTATATTTTTCTTCACTGCATGATGGACGTAGTCTATTCGATCGAATATTATCCTATAATAAATGCTGAGGCTCAAGATAGGTGATGGTGTTGTGAATAGTACATCGATTATGTTGACCATAAGTTGAGCGAAACGTGCGAAACAGTGTCTTTACAGAATGAAAGAAAGGTATATACATATGTATAATCGCAACGTTCATTAATTAATTTAATGGTATGGTAAACATAATCTCTCGCGACAGCCTCACAAAAGATGACTTTAACGTAGTTATTTTTTTTTTGCATATTTCGCACGAATAAAACATGCTAAATCATGGTATTGTTTAACATCTACCTATTTCCCTGTTTTCTTTAAAAGAGTCTCTTATAAAAATATTGAAGAATTATAGAATTTTACTTTAGTATCGAATATTATTTTTGAAAAATGTTGGCTTCCTTTGATACAGTAGCCTATCTGCAGCAGCACTTCCGAAAACAGGTGTCTGACGGTGGGGAAGATTTGTGGGCTCAAATTTAACTCAAATACAATAACTTGAAAAGTTTATTATTAAGACAAAGTTGTTTTTACTTAGCCAAAATTTTGATTTTTGACAATATGGCGGCTTTCTGAAATAATTTACACTTCAGAGTGTCGTAAACAATGGTAATTATTATCCAAAATTTGATTCTTTCGATCATTACCGAAATAGTATGATTTTTTGAAATTCACAAACTACAAAGTCATAGCTTGGCTGTTTTATAAGTAACGCTGATCGTTTTGTATTTAATATCTTGCTTAAACTACTTGCTGGTTTATTCTACAAACAATACCCCTTTTTTGGTATACTATTTTTAAAATATAATAATTTATATAAATTATTCTGTTTATATCTAATACATATGTACAATTAGTTCCGTTTTTTTGTGAGCAAACCCCATCACTAAGCAATTAGATGATGATCATATATGCAATTAAAACACAAAAGTCATGCTTTTTGTAATCTACCAAACTATTTTCTGTTGGACACAAAATTTACACAATGTAAAAAAATCCAATCACAATAATTTCCGTGCTTCAAAAGATAAAATATGACAAGCCTTCATTAATAATAAATGGATATGCATATATCAGTAGTTACATATTTTTTTGTGACTGATCTATTATACTAAATACATATTACATATTACATATGTATGTACCTAAACAAATGAAATCGAAACTGCACGCTGCCTGTGAAAAGAGAAGAGCGGAAAGCTACCCAAATTACGTTCCAACAAGTGACTCAGTTCCGATGCAGCCAACGCAATCGATTAAGTAACAGCATTTAACGGTAATTTACATACACTATTAAATGTGTGTGCATACATACTTAAATAGCCAAATATTAAACACGCTCTCATTAAAGTAAACAAACTGTAATCTATAGTATAAATACATTCATAGTTATATATAAAGCCCAGCTACCTTCCTGGTTTTGTTGTGCCCCCTTGCTTTGCCCCGCTACGCTAAATACACGGGTAATAATTGTGCTAATCATATATGTTGACGCTGGTGGCAACACTCCGCGCCTTCACGCCGCCGCTGCAACAAGTGAAAGTGAATTTAAAAGCGTAAGCCAAAAGCAAATAAAAACAAAACACAAAAAAAAAAACAACGAAAACACAAAACTACGAAATTGTTTGCAAAGCGAAATCCACCAAAATAAATGACAACAAAAACAAGCAAAAAGAAAGAAAAAACGAGGAAAACAAATCAACACAAAGCGCAAGTGCAAAAGCGCGCTTGTAAACTGTGAAAATGTGTGTAGTCTGTGTTTTGCTCAGCGCTTCTGCGTAGCGGTAAATCGACCAAAAGAAAAGCATGTGCGATATTTTAACTGGAAGTATGTAAATAATGAAATAATGCCGCATTACTTACGAGTATAACAAATTGTTTCAAACTTTTTTCTAAGTGATGCGCAGCAAATTTTCAAATAAATGCTTTCATTGTAGTAGATTGTTGCTCAGTCGCATAACCTCTATTACTTTGTGCTGTTTCCCTGTTTAATAAACTTTTACTTTGTTAACAGAAAATATATTTAGTGCGATAATTCACAAGTGTCAGTGGAGCAGTGTAATATGAAGCGGAGGAATTTACTGCTGAAGCTGTGCGCATTGCTGACAACGCTGTCATGGCATCTGACAGGTGAGTGCATGATACTTGTAAGCACTTAAAAACAATGTAAATTTATTCGTAACTCATACATATGTAGATTAYTTGAAAAGAAAAGAAAATTATAATAAAAATGTCATTTTATGCATTTGTGGAAACTCGTGGGAATAATGTGAATTATGAGGAGAAAATATAAATAATTATTCGACTATAGTGCATTAAAATACCCCCCTTTCTGTCCTTGCTGAATACCCTTTATAATCTTATATATTACTTCCCGTCAGCGAAAATTGAATTAAAATGAAATATATCTGACATAAACACAACCGAAGCGGTTAAATGTATTATATTATTGGATTGGATTAAGATTGGAATTGTTTATATTAGGGATATGTGGTTTGGACTATATACATGTTCATGTAACTTTGCTATATATTCTCCAGATTGACCGATATATAAGGTATAATGCCAGCCGGAAGTTTGAAAATCATATACATATGTATAGGTTGGTATTTTGTTGAAAGAGGTTGTAGCTGTGTAACAACAGGGCAGCAGTCTTTTCTTCTTCTCGCTATTTCGGGATACCAAGTGAAGCCAGCAACTTATTCACCTGATCTCTCCAACGAAATGAAGGATTTCCTCTTCCTCTACATCCGCTGGCAGGTACTGTATGGAAAACTGTCAAAGAATGATTAGGGACTTGTATGGTTTTGTCTTTGTTCGTCAGGATGAGACTTTACTTCTCAATTGCCTACTTAGTCAGAAGTAATACCTGTCGGCAAGAGTTATTGTGCGTTGGATTCCGAGGTTGACATTGTGTGCTACAACCGTTTGAGGAGGAGATATTTCGTCTTGAGCTTGTTTACCACCAGACACGCGGCGCGGTTGTTTAGGCCAATGATATCAACCTTTTATCTTTCTATTTAGCTCTGCGGCTCGTATTATTTCCTCCAGCAAAAGAGTCACACAAAAGGGATTCGCCTTGTCTGAAACCTCGTTTGGTATAGAACGATTTGGAGAGTTCCTTCCCGATCTCAACGATGATTTTGGTACCATATTTGTTTTGCGTTGTTACCAAATTCAGATAACGCGACATAAAGGCAGTTCCTTTCGTGTTGTTAAAAGCAGCTTTGAAATTGACGAAAAGGTAGTGCAATTCGATTCTTTTTTCATGGGTCTTTTCCAAGAATTGGCGCATGGTGAATATCTGGTTAGTTATTGATTTTCCATGTTCAAGCCGAACAAGGTCGAATCAGTTAGCCTTCTCCAGTTCAGCAGGCTGGAGAAATGTTCCCTTCATAACTTCAGTGTACTCTCTCTTCAACTCTCGGTATCTATCCCATCACGCTCGTAGGAAGTAGATTGTCATCGTACGAGCTGTTCTTTCCACCTTTACGAAAACCAATGGTCGCGCTAGAAGCTGTACGTAAGGAGCTTGAAATGCCGCCCAACAGTTCTCTTATAAAGTCAACAGGTTGTTTAAAATCGTGATATTTTTTACTTGATAGCTAGACCAAATTATGGATAGTAACTCTGCTGTGAGAACTCTTGGTTTTTGCTCCACGATGATATACCGTCGTATATAGCATTTAATCTTTGTGAGTTTTTCGCCAAATTTTCAACCAATACCGTACCTCGATCGCCGTATTCGCCTGATTAAACTTCTGGTCATTCACAAAACTCAAACCATCGCTCCGAGGAAAGCGTTTTGAGTAAATTTAAGGCATTAAATGTGAATCGGTATTTGCATTGAAGGTTATTCAGGAAACTGACTTTAACAACTGTTACGAGGATTAGAAAAAACGTTGACTCAAGTATATTGGGTCAAGGGGGACTACTTTGACGATGACGAGGGCATAGCCTTTGAAGAATAATGTAAGAATTTAAAAATATGAACAAAGTATTACTATTAGTGGCTCAAAGTTCACTTTTACAATGACTTCAAAAATTATGTTATGACAGCAATGCTTTCATATAATATCTGGTAAAACATTCAACGAGCACGCGAGCTTTTGTAACGACTGTTTATGAGTAATTAAAACCGAAACCGAAGAGCTGCAAAGAGTAACACACATATGTCTATATATGAATTTAGCACGTATGTGTTACATAATGTCTTGTGCAATTGTCACCTACAACATATTGCCGTTATACCATACATACAGCTAACTCTTCTTAATTATTATAGCTATTCAATGGTAATTCCGATTCGCGTGACGAGTATTATAAAGCAGCAGCAAAAAAGCAAAAAAAAAAAAAATAATGAAAACAAAAAAACGAACAAAGTCACATAATCGTGACGACACGAAGGTGTAAATACTCTAAATTAAATATTTGTATAACCCGAGAAAATTTCATCAATAGTGCCAATTGGCAAGAGGTGTTGATTGATTAATTCGAAACGTTGAGTTCGACAGTTCAATCACTTAAACGGTAAACCATACTCGTCTAAAGAAAAACAAAGGCATGTGAGTAATTAGCATTTTTGTCGTAACTTCAGTGCTTTTAAAATTAAAGGGGGTTATAACAAATATGCACACTTTAAGTACTTGCTTACGGCAAACAGCTATATTCACGATTTTGAAAAGTAAAAGTGTTGAAAACGCTACATGAGTGTCTTCGAGAAACTACAGCCTGAAGTACGCATAATATATTGCTTACGACTTCCGCCTAGACGTGGTGAGTACTCATTATTTTATTTTAATTAACACTTTAGATTGTATAAGTGCTTTGAGTTGTAAGTTTGAATAGTCCGTTTATTAGCTGATATCCTCATTAGCTCTAAGATTCGGTATATGTAGTAAAGACATATGATCCCTTGACTTGAATTTTCATTTGTGGTAGCTAACAGAGATAGGATGACAAAACAGGTATGATAAGACTAGAACTACGGACTCATTATATTGGTAACGAAATAGTATTTACAGACTTACAAACAATATAACGGGGTACTTGGCTTTCGGTGAAACTGTGTTAAAAATGGGTATGTTCTATAATCTATAAAAATATTTTGCACAAAATGTAATAATTGGTGATGTTCAGCTCATTGACCGCGTCAGCTCTAACTAACGGTTCCAGAATAAGGCTGACGTCGATGCCACCCTTACTTATAAGGGATGTCAGACTGTCAGCAGCACTGCGAGTGCTGCAGATTTATCTGTGAACATCTTAGATATTTGCCCATTGTTTGTTCTTCGGTGACCACATCTCTTAGCATCTAGTTGTTGTCGTTGAGCTCTTCTATGTCGTGTTAATTATCTGCGATTCGCTTCAGTTTGAGGCTAACAAGGTACCTTTTAGTAAATCCAAGGTGGCCTGGTCCGCGCTCTTGATGACCACGTAGTCCCTAAGAAGTTAAAACTCGGGTGGGAACCCGTCGGATTATTGAGGCTACTAGACTCGACAATCTGAAGTAGAGTCTAGAGGGAGGAAGAGGTTTAGTCTATGGTTTACACCCGGAGGCTGTCCCTGTCAGCTTGGCTTCACCTACTTGAGTTTTTTGGATAGAGATTTCAACGTTTCGTTGTGGAACCGGCTTCTCTTCTGAGAGCATGGTCTTGACGGTTTCCGCGAGAATTTCCGTTTTCTATCTTTTCAAGAAACTATCATATTCCTCCACTATTTACGTTAGGTGCTTTATCTCTGCTACGTCAACTAAGCAGCCCTACCTTTGGCGAAGTTTTTGAGTACAAAACCTGCCCTCCGGTAAAGTCTTTTTCTCATTTAAATTTAAAAATTTTTTCTCTGTTTGCGCTGCATCTCTTCTTTGGATGCCGGTGTAATCTGGTTTGTACTCATGGTCGCTTTGAAGGTGGTCGGTTCCATATTTAAGACTTGGGTAGAGTCTGTTTTTTCTGCTGCAATTACTGGATTACTTTGTTGGAATATAGGATATTATTTTTTATCGTTTCCTGACGATAGATTGTAATGCTTATCGTGGTCCTCAAAGTAAGTGTTGTTGTTATTCTGTTATTATTTTTCACGTTCATGTTTGTTCCCACGAGTCAGCCGTAAAAGATTGATGACTCATCGGCAGAGTCGGTATGTGAAGAGAAGTTCTTTATTATCTCCAGTCTCATCCGTTCGTGATCAACTACTACTACTATAGCCTCTTGATCATTCCCCCATCTTAAAGTAGTGTTGGTGCGGCTATTCTCACCCCAACAATAGGTGATAGACGTAAGTCCTTAGTTCGTAAAAGTAGTGTGCGTTCCCATATGAGATGCTCTTATTACTATTACTTAACGCTAACGCTGAAGGAGATTTGGATATAGTTCGAAAACCTAATAAATCAGACCGTGTGTTGTTCAATGGACAAAATAGCACAGGCTTGTTCATTATTTGACATTATTACTCGGCACACAAACCCTTAAAGCTTTGGGATAAAAAAAAAGTAGTACTTGTCGTGACATGCTACACAATATCTTTGCATTGGTGCTAACCTTCAGTAGAATACAGACAATGTGTCATGAGATTTCATGCAACTGTGTTTAAGTTATTACTCTCAAAGGAAATCTCTGTAATGTTTGCTTACAATGGAAAAAAATATATTAATACCGAGCTCCGATAAAACATTATTTATTGATGGCACAAGCCCTTTGACGTAATGCAAGCACCTGTTACGGTTTCGACGATTTAATTCAAGTTCTAAAATTTGTCTTTGCTGTATTAGAACAAATGGTGCACCTTGTTCAGAAGTAAAAATTAAGTGAGTTTGTTAACTTTAAAAGGAACGAAAATTTCTCATCGAAATCAAAGCAGAGCGCTTTCATTTGGCTATAAAAATTTCCCTTTCCATAAAACAAAGTTTCACTCTAGTGATAAATTAAGGCGTTTATGCTATGAACTAAACTTCTCCCACCATATTAACCTTTCTCTTCTCCAGACTCCTAAAGTGGTTCAATGGAAAAAAGTTCACTTATATCGGGATTTTTATATTGAAAAACAAAAAGAGTTATTTAGACAGTTCTGAAATAACTGTATCGAACAAATATGCGTAATTGTATTATTCCGGACGGATAATATGTCAAAAAACAAAGTCATAGTTTCATTCAAAACCCGTTCCTTTACTTTACTAAAGACTCAGCTCATGTGTTTTATTGGAAATGTGAAACAAGAAACAGAACGTTGATGAATGTAAGCAAAGACATATTTAAAATGTATGTATATTTCCTAATATAATGAATGATGAGAGTCTTAGGCTCTGGAACGGTGAACAAAGAAAATCCCAAGAGTATTATAAAAGGTGATCCATTTCGCAGTTCCCTACTTTTTTAAAGAAAAAAACAGAAAGATCAAAATTAATGATTTTTACTTACTTACTTACTTTGAGAAAAATTKGATATCATTATACCTGTATAAAACTGTACATTGTACTATATGATGCAAAGGAACCTAGTCTGGTTGACTGCATATACACTTTAGTAATGCTTCCTTTGCACGAAATATTAACATAAAAAATTTGACATTTTATTATAATTTATGTATGCATTTTGCGTGCCATATGAACTCAACGAAAGTATTTTTAGTTTCACAACTTCAATATGTTTGACTTTAACACATATGTGCATACCACTTACCGTCGTTTGTAATGAAAATCAGCTTGTTGTGTTTTCTAATAAACATGTCTTTAGCTATGAGTCGCAACTAATTAACATTAATTGCTTTTCATATTGTGCGAAATGAGGCACTAATGTGACGCCTTTCGCTAATTTAACTCACATTTTTATGATTTAAATATCTACAAGTTTTCAAAGTGTTTCATGAATCAAAAATGTTTGCATTAAAGTCTTGAAATTCCAACACATTGTTAATTTATGCAATTTATTTGACTCAATTGAAATTATTTGCGCATTTAAGCATACAAAATTGAAAACGTATAATGTAATGTCTATACTTATGCACCTATACGAATATCTTTTATATATAAAAATGAAACGGATTTTTTGTATGTGCGCGCATTACGCCCGAACCACAGCACGGAAATAAGCCTCTTTTGAAGCCCGTGAATATTTGCACGGGTATGACTTTAGTCCTGGAGAAGGCCCTAACGGCTTTCTTTTTTGCAAAATCACCCTTGATTTCGCACTTTATGTCTATATTTATAACACAAGAACGGCTGAACCGATTTGGTTGAAAATTGGTGATGAGGGAGCTTGGAAGCTCGAGACGGGCATAATCTACTCTCTGCCGTTTTATGTTAAAAGTCACATAAATTCATAAATAAAAAAAATTTCAAAACATAAACATGTGTTCAATATTCATGTAAGAATCATTTAAAATTTTTTTTCTTCAAAAATACAAAATAAAATTAGATAGGGGCGTGGGATGCGCTCTCTTCCGCTCTACTACTGCAGACTGCAGTGTTATTCATTATAATAAGAAGCATATATATGTTTAGAGATTGTGAAGATGTTGTTACATCACACATGTTTATGTATGTACTATTCCTTAAAGGATCGTCTCAGTGTAATCCTCCGCAAAATCATTGATTTTCGCAATTTTTTTGTAATGTTGAAATTAACTAATCGGTGTGGTTTTTTATAAATATAAAACATTCATGACGAATACAAAAAGATTTTTTTTATTTATATTCATTGTGTTTATAAAACTTAAATAAATTGTTGAAATGATACGTAAAATGTCCTGTCCAATATCCACGTTTTCAGTTGCAATTTTGATCTGAATCTTCGGTAAAAATATTTAAAACTTTTGTTTTTTTTGAACTCAACTAATATTTGTTTTTGAAAATTTGAAATGATGTGTGAACTTTGTTCGAAATGAAATTTAATTCGTTTCAAAGTTTTTCTGTTGAACAATATTTTTAACAAGGTTTATTGCTGAAGTTCAAGAATCACTTCAAGGTAATTATGCAATTAAAAAGATTTTTTATTCTTATTGGCTATTTTGTACTTTAAAGTGCCATCATAAAAATAACATTAACTATTAACATTCTCACAAATATGTCTGCAATAATGCTTGATGCATCCTTAAAAAAAGCTAAGAATTTAATTGCTTTTGATAATAAAAATTTTCCATTTTGCATTTCACTTCCTCAAAATAAACGAAGTTCCAGGCTCATCATGTACAGCGATAATTATTATTTATTACTACAATATTTTTGGAGTGATTACCTATAAAAGCTATATTTGGGAAGCGTGAAAGAATAGAAAGGAGAGTTTATGGCTCACGTCGAATTGTATTACAATCACGTAATCTTTCTTGTTTACGAAGAATGATTACTCCCTCATTTGTCGCATATTGTCAATTGTCTGTTTTTAGACTTAGCTTGAAAATAATTACTAGAATCTTTGTGGTTTCATAAAATTTTTATTTGATTGTTGTGAAGCTCTCTTATAAACTGCTGTTCTTAGGTTTGATAGACGATCTGTACCTATCTTTTTGTGTGGATCTTTGTTGCTTGTTTTCCGAAATACATAGGTCAAAAATCGACTTCCGTAAACCGAATATTTTTTTTTTTTTATTTTTATCTAAGTAAGAATGTAAAAAAAGTAAATATTTTGTTGGCTAAAATGTGTTGCTGTTAACTCTGTGGTCCTTTTATTTATCTGAATATGTATACACTGCCATTATATGAAATATTATATGAAAGCGATCGAAAAGGTGACATAAAGATTAAAGCTTTGAAGTTGAAACATGCCCTACGAGCGGCTTTCATACTGCAGACTACAGCAAGAATCGCATTTAACGCTACTTACACATAGAACCGGAGGACATTGTCGGCAAGTGCGTTGCTGAGAAGATTCAGCAAACCTGGGTATACGAAAGAGTCTGAAGAAGGATATGCTGAAAATTTCTCCTTCTTCAACTGCATTCCTGAAAACTTGGATTACTACGTCGTAAAGGCTCCTTGTTGAGACTTTTCTATGGAGTTGCTTTAGTAGAGGCGCAGTAAGCCTTTTCACGGATGGATCAACGCTAGGAGGAAAGGTTACAGCGCGAGTTTTTTGTAAAGAGCTCTCTTTCAACCCTAGCTTTAGGCTACCGAACCACTTTAGTATTTTTTAGACAGAAGTTACTGCTATTAATGTGGCGGTACACAGGGATGTGAGCACTTACTCCGACAGCACAGGAGTAATACTAACGTTGACCTCGCTAACTGTGCTGTTCAAAGCTTCTTTAGTAGTGTCTGTCCTCACTAGAAGGAGCATAAAGCTACCTCATCATCAGACCCGTTTGGGTGCCTGGTCATATTAGAATCACTGGCAATTGAAAATCCGACGAGCCAACCAGAAAGGCACCCTTCTCCGCTCTCATTGGAATGCCACCGAGCTGGATCTCCACTGAAAACATGCACTCTAGTAACTACATGATCAAGGGACAATCGTAAGGGTTTTTACTCAACATGGTTCAATAGAAACTCATGCGGTAAGACAAAAAATCTAAACTGTCTGCCATTACCTTAGTGACGAATGACTCATTTCGAGCCAAGAGCACATCAGAACTTCTTTGTATGTATTGAATTGAGAGTTTCTACCTGCAAACCGACGGTAATATCCTAAAATACGTTACTCATTCAAAGACAGTATGTGGCAATGCTTATGGAATGTATGTGTATAATGGATTTTAAATACCTTTTTTAGACTCAGATGAAATCATCCTACTGGACACTCCTTACCTATTCTCTATCTTTTATTGTTTCAGCTTGCTCAGTAGTACATGAGGACCATTCACCGGCCCAAGATGATCTCGGTGACGCGTTAGCAGACAGTTTCTCTAATGGATTGGCGAACAGCACTGATTTAGTGCGTGCCGTACGGGAGTCTATAAGACAACATGAACTTCTGCAGCAACGTAATAAACATCGCAGGTGCGAACATTACCTTTAATCGCTTTCCATATATAGATATTATTTAAACATTATGTCTGTCACTGCATTTGCTAACAGATCGAAGCGTGCAATCAAACGCGTTTGTTATGGCGAACTCGGTTGTTTTGAGGACTCCGGCCCCTTTGCTTATTTGGAAATGCTGCCCTCGCCGCCACAAGATATCAACACCAAATTCTATTTTTACTCTACAAAAAATCGTTCCGAACGTCCCCTCATGGAGTTGCCGTTTCTAAATATGACTGACGCTTTTGCCAAAGTCGCACGATCTTCGCATTCTATACGACGCAGAGCCGGTTCAGTAAGTGATACAGATGCCAATAGTTCCACCACAACAACTACGACGACAACAACCACCACGACACAGCGTAGCGTCTTTAAAAGTACTCCACTGACACTCGACGAATTGCATGGCTTCGATGAATTGTCGGTGCGCGTGATCGTGCACGGTTTCGGTTCGGCTTGTCCGCATGTCTGGATCTACGAAATGAAAACGGCGTTGATGGCGGTGGTAGGTTCTTTAGATTTAATTAAAGTTTAAAATTATACAGATTGTTATTGTAGGAAGATTGTATTGTTATTTGCGTGGACTGGGAGAACGGCGCGACTTTCCCAAATTACGTGCGTGCTGCAGCCAATACACGTCTGGTGGGCAAACAACTGGCCATGCTTTTGCAGAATCTGAAGCAGTACAAGGGTCTCAACTTAACGCGCACCCATATAATCGGTTTCAGTTTGGGCGCACATGTGTCTGGTTTCGCTGGCGCTGAACTGCCAGGTTTGGCTCGCATTACGGGTTTGGATCCAGCCGGTCCACTGTTCGAGGCACAACATCCCAAAGTGCGTTTGGATAATTCGGATGCGGACTTTGTGGACGTTATACACTCAAACGGTGAGAACTTAATACTTGGTGGACTGGGCTCGTGGCAGCCAATGGGACATGTGGATTTCTACCCGAATGGTGGACGTGTGCAAACGGGCTGCTCAAATTTATTTGTGGGCGCCGTAACCGATTTCATTTGGTGTTAGTAGCTGAATATTATTTACTTAGCATTTTTTGTTAATCAAATTTATTACCCCCCATTTATAGCTGCACAAACTGCCGATGAGGAGGAGGGTCGTTCGCTCTGTAATCATCGACGTGCCTACAAGTTCTTCATTGACTCAGTCGCTCCGCGCTGCATGTTTCCAGCTTATCCGTGCAATAGCTATGATGACTTTATTAAAGGCGATTGCTTTCCTTGCGCGCAAAATGACGATGACGTTGCTGAAGGTGTGCCAAAATGCGGCAACATGGGCTACTACGCTGATAGGTCCACCGGCCGTGGACAACTGTATCTATTAACAAGAGAAGAGGAACCTTTCTGTGCGCATCAATTTAAGCTGGAAATATTCAATTCCTTCAATGATTTGCCGCTACGTACTATCGGCCGCTTGGAGGCGACACTCGAAGGGGAGGGTGGCTTAAATGAAACCTTCAAAATATCAGAGTGAGTCTTTTTATAGTTTATTTTTTCTACAAGGCTTTAATAATAATAAAAATTGTCTCATATAGAAAAGACGACTCTGAATTCTTCGCTGGAGATATTGTTTCGAAAATCATTGTTCCACATCCCGCCCTAGGCTTTCCAACCACACTTAGTTTACATTACAAATCCTATAGTGGTTGGTTGTCCAAGGGACTGCCGCACTGGGACATTGATAAGGTTGTTCTAACCGACAGCTTTGGACGCAGTCATTCCCTCTGTAAACCATCGACTAAGCTTTCATCGGGTACACCTGTGCGCCTAAAGCTGCTTACTGGTAACTGTGAATTGGAGAACCAAGAAGAATATGGTACTTATAATGTGCCCACCACTTCGGTGCCCGACTCTAATGGACAAGAGAGCATAGACAATTTGGAAACTGATAGTATAGATGCCGCCAAGCAAAGCAAAGACTATTTCAATCTCGGTACTAGTTTTCGGCTGGATCAAAATAATACATATACTGATAACGATCTGCCATGGCAACCCATATTCGAAGGCACCAATTCGCTGGACAAAGAAGTTGGTGAATCCAGTCGCAGTTTATCCGTCGAACCAACTGAGATTTTCGAACCCGTTTTGAACGATCGCCGCTTGGGGCTCAAGAATGCACGTAACCTGCAGGAATATGGTGTAACCACGGAAGAGATAGTTGAGCCCGTTTTAAAGGCGACTACACCACGTGTGAAGAAAGCAAAGGAGATTGTCTTCACAGACTCGCCGCTGGACACAAAGAAACCGGAAATTATTAAAATTACACCGATTACGGTACGCAATGGACCCGAGCTACCGAAGCAGAACTCACCGGAGGAAGTTATTACTGTGCAACTGCTGCCCTTCCGTCTCGGCGATTTACTACAACGTGCAGAGCGTTACGCACGTGAGACGCTCTTACCGCTGATCTCTGTGCAAGCGCCGAAATTCTTTGGCTTCAATATAGGCGGCTCACCAGTGAGTAGTACTGAACAGCCTGCTACTCTTAAGGAAGAACCACGCAAACCACGCTATATACCACGTTTTGAGGAGGCGTCCTTTTTGCGTGAGAAGCGTGTTGAGGACAACCGCCCTGTCCGAAAATCGCTAACAGATCGCGCAGTGTCTGAGTCCCGAACGCAGCGTAATATTTTCAAACTCCTAAGGCCGGATAATGTAGAAAAACCAACGAGTAGTGTTGAGAGTAGTATTGATCGCTCGGGTCAAAAGCGTGCGCTTAGCTATTACACCAATATGGTGCTCTCTGAATCGCGGGCATTACGACCGGAAGATCCCAGTTATGAGCCAGTATTCATAGAACTACCCACCTATAGGCCAGGCAAAGCGACGAATCAAATGTCGGTTGAACGAAAACCCTGAAACTACATAACTGTATTGGTTATCGAAAACAGTGTGGGTTAAACACTATTCGAATTGTGTAAAAGCGCGTGATAAGTCAAATGCTGTAGACGCTCATCTCGTCACTATTACTTTTTTTCGAAACAATACAAAAATAAATTTACAAATGAATTTGTCAAACGCTTCGCCATAAAGCTTGGCTGCTTTACTGAAGATGCAATTAGCCCTCGGTCTAACCAAAAAGAAGTATAACTAAATAAATTGTATAGATAATAAAAATAAATACCATTGTGATCGCCATTTACGTGCAACCCTGTGAGTCGCCACTAATTTGCTGGTTTTAGAATTTTCTTACATTTGCGGCCAATTTTATAAAATTATTTATATTTAATATTTTCTAAGCTCATCTCTTTAGAGAATACTTAAATTGAATTTTCTGTAAATATTTCTAACCCTATCACTGTTTTCCACTTACTCTAATTGCTTATGTATGTAATTTCGAATATAAGTAAAAAATGTTTAGTTAAGAAAACATAATTCTTGACTCCTGCGAATGCCGTTCGCGTCATCGCTTGGAGCCAAGGTATTGCTGTTTGGAATTTGTTAGGGAGTAGGTTATAATTTGTATTAAGTACGTATAGTACTTATATTTTGTACGAATAAATTATTTAATTTTACAAGAAACATGGAATTATATTATTATATGAAATACGAATGCAATCCCGACGGCTTGATAACTTTAATACATAGTTTTGTATGGAAGGAAGGAAGGGAATAAGGGGAATATTAAGGAACTTGAGCTGCGAATACAATTTGTCTTCTATTATTATCATTTCCACTTAAAAATTTAAGAATTTATTTTTGTAGTTTTTGAAAACTATTATAAAAGTTGTGTGATTTTTTTTTTCCACGAATTTGAGTGCGGTCTGAGATGTTATTGAAGCAGGGAAAAAATTTGAAATTTGAAAAATTTGAACTCTTCTGTGTTCATAACGATTTTCTGCTTCGGCTAACCGGCAACACGCTTTTTTGTAGATTATTTTTAAATAGGTTTTTATTTAAATACAAGTAATGTAAATTTTTAGGAATTAATGCACAGTGTTAATTTAGTAAAATTTTGGGTTTTACAGATCTCGTAGATGATTTCCTCGCCCTTTATCCCCGAAGAAGCGCAATGCATTTATTGTTGGTGAGGAAGATTTTTCTGCTTAATTCTTTTTATTTTAAATCAGAATAACTAAAAAACTTATTGTTGTAAAAGATATTTTGTTGTTGATGCGGGGATATACAGAGTTTGTCCTGAAAGTAATAGGACTGAGTCGATTTACAAAAAAATAAAATTGTCCAATCGTTACTATTCTTTAAAAACTCCAAAATAGGCTCCTTCTGGGTCGATGCAGCGCTGCCATCACGATTCCACGAAGGAAGAGTGCCTCGTTGTCTTGGGATCATACGCAAAGATCCACGACTCGTCCACCGTGATTACGTTATTCAAACGTCTCTGTTGCAGATTTACCGAGTTTTACACAAAATGTCTGTCCTGACTCTTCAGATACTCGGAGACAACAGAGCAGCCGCTTTTTCGTTAGTTATGAATGCCCTCTATCGAATCCTGTAGGTGCGCGCATGCCAAGAATGGTGTACGGCTAACATCCGGAAACTTAATCAACAATGGGAAACTCATGCATTGTCCATACGAAGAAGGGGACAAAAGCATAGTAAAGAAAATGAAAACCCGATTGAACGAGCTACCGGAGTGCAAAAAATCATGTGCAAAACGTTAGATTAGAAATACACAAAATTACTATTGCCACTTGATTAAGGAGACTGTATCGGAATACTAATTGGTCACTGCCTGGTAGCGAAACACGCCCGCAGAATGGGGCTGACAGATCGTAAAGACTGCAGGAAACGTCTAGAGCAAGGCATCAGGTAGTAACTGAATAAAATTGGTCTATGTGTGGCTTATTGGCCTATCAGGCTAGCTTAACCTAATCTAACCAATTATAATAGATGGGTATTGCCAAAATGGCACTTTCCCAAAAAATGGAGTTTTTTTGTGAAAAAATCATATTTCACAGTGGCTTTAAACTCCCAAATTTCTATAAAAAATCAGCCAGCTTTTTCGTAGAAACTTTCCCCGTCGACCCTGAAAACAGCGTTTCGAGCAAAAAAATTCTATATATTTACCATATATTTTTCAAATTTCAGAAAATATTTTCAAATATATGTATATTCGATGGACACTAAGTTCTCCGTTTTTTTAATGAAAATAAAATTTTATTGTAAGGAAATTTTTATCAGGACACGACTAAAAATTCACCATTTTTAAGGTTTTTTTCTCGCAGACGATCATTAATATCGAAATGGGCATCTTTGAAGCAACGATACCAATCACGGCACTTTGATTCAGTGCGTACAGCACCTTCTTCGTCTTGGTGTGCGCGATATCCTTCAGTCAATGTATAGGTTAAATTTATCATGTTTTGAGTGTATTAAAATCCATTATAATAATGCCATTTATTGGCAAATAGCGAAAATCTACTTTCATATTAAAACATCGATTTTCAAAAATTTCACTTGATAAAAATTTAGCAGTGAAACGAAATGCGAAGTCTTTGAAATTTACCATATTGCACTGCCACTTGAACTACTTTGAGGGAAGCGAATGCTTGTTATCCTCAGCCGTTCTTACTACGAACTAATTTTCTCCGGGAAAATTGGACTCATAGCAGCCTAAGAATTGGAGGGCAATATAATAATTTACATTACTTTTTCAAAGACAAATTCAGCACTGAACTATACTATCACAAATTTGTTTTTATTATTAGACACTCGTAATTTGCCTACCGTTTTTTTAATACTCTTCACATTTTGACCATCCACAAAAGTACTTCATTAGAATGGCGTTGTAACAGATTTAATTTTCTAATTTTTTTTTGCAGTTAATGAAATTAAAAAAATATTTATATATATGTATATATATATTATGTACATATATATAAATACATGCCTCTTTTGTATGACTATTGACGCATTTAAGGTTAGAGAAGCGCAAGCAAAAATTAGCATCATGGCAAACGTACTATTGATCATAAGCAACTAAGTAAGCAATCGCTATTTTGTTATTATATATTACGATTATACCACGTTATAGTACACAAACATGTTATACTCGTATTATATTTAAACTATTGCTCAATACCAATAACTACAGTATTTTGCGTGTCTCAAAGAGGTTTTGGGTTGAATTGAATTCATCATAAATCCTGAACGCCTAAGATCCTTCTAGCGATATGGCAGGTGTTTTGGTGTTATGCACGTTAAATTGAATGCATTAATTCATAACAAATTAGCGTGTAAGTTGGTAGGCATGTCAATGAGTGAAGGACTCTGAGCCGACTGGACTTAGAGGAAGTCTATTACTATTATATGTTTAGTCTAGAAACGAGGGTAGTTTCTGCTAAGTTCCCGCTTTATTGCTTGATCACCCACAGACCAATGATGAGAAAACCAGAAAACTATGTTCTTATACATACATTGAGGCAAACAGCACCCGGAAATTGTAATTAAATTCTCCGGGTAAAAGATATTTCAAAAACAGATATTTTGCTAAATTGGTCGGTGAGTTGGTCAAGAGATCGTTGAAGATATGCCTCGTTGTGGACGACCTCTTCAACTGATGAAAATATTAAAAAGGATATGATGCTTGAAAATCGTCAGGCTAGTGTTAGTTAGACGGTAGAGCTATCGCGAGTGCGCTCAAATGATTTTGGTGATATTTTGGGTATGAAAAGCATTCTTAATAGACTCAACTCTATAAAGCTGATTGCAAACATGAATACCATATATTAACCACCGTATTCACCAGATTTGGCTCGGTGTGATTTTTTCTTGTTTCCCAAACTGAAATTGCCGTTCCGTGGAACTCGCTTTGTGTCGACCGATCGCTGAAAGAGCTGAAAGAGATCGCATAAAGTGCTTATAAAGTGAAGAGCTTATGTTTCGAGGACTGGAAAAATCATTGACATAAGTGTATTACATCTGAGGCGGATTACTTTGAAGGCGACGAAAAAAAAAACATATTGATTAATAATTAAATATTCTGCGTTTCTTTTTAACAATTCTTTTTTACAATTTCCGGGTCCTTTTTTGTTACAATCTATGTTCTTACAATGACCTACCAGCTTTTTGAAATGAAGAAACAAATTTAAACCAAAATTTTTGCTAAAATTCAATTTTTTTTACATCCTCAATTTTCTAATGATTTTCGGTTCATTGTTCTTATAGTGAGAATGTTTTTCAGGTCTCAGCGATGATGAAGCCGCAATCTCTGCAAGCGGTGAAGGACGTTTTAGCGCCGTCGGGGATTATGTGTAACTGGAAATATTGTAAATATTTAGTTTTTTCCGCAAAATTTTTTCTGTGTATGCTTAAAAATTGTACAAGAAATGTAGTCGTTTTTTTCTACATTTCCAAAAATCGCCTTGTTGTAGGTTATTACACTAAAATGAGGGCCACTCGTGATTAAATTGCTGCAACAAAAATATGCATAACCATTTTGCAAAAATAAAAACACAACTTGTTTGTATATTTTTCAATTATTTCCTCCTTTTATTAAGATTTATACCAAATTTTCACTTTGGTTTGGTTTTGTTACGTTTATCTGTTTTCTTTCACTTTTCTAGTTAGTACGTTTACAATTATTATTTTTGTATACACTTAATAAATTTCGAATTATTACTTTTATATGTATATATATATATATATATATTATACATATGTATGTAACTATATACATATGCGTATGTATGTATATATTTTTAAATTTTTACATAAAAAAAAGTATGTTGATGAATTAACTTACAACTGAAGTGAAGAGTGGTTTTGCCTACGCCGAAATAGTAACAAATCGCATATTTATAATGATTACTCTTTTATTAAATAACTTTCAAGACTTCAAAAAATGCTCTCTCACTAGACTATAGCCTGAAATGTCATTGGTGCCATTAGTTTATGCACTCAACTTGCTTGCAAATCTCTTTGTTGCTTTGCTTACGTTAATCGTAATTAATTTGCTTACATGCCTCTGCCTCATTTATGCAGTTATGTATATACATATGTAAATTAAACAACATATATTTATGTAAAATTTGTTTGACAAAAAATCTAAATTTCTTCAATAAGTAACGCCAGCGTCACAGTCATTTGTTTATTTTAATTAATGTTTATTGTTTTTTAATTTAATTTTTGCTCATTTTACGATTTTGCCGACTTAACGGTTTTTGCTTTGTTCTTTTTTGGTTGCAATTCTCATCATTGTATTGTTTTTTCATCTTTCTTTCTCTTTATTTTTCGCATACTTTCTTCATTATTTATTTTTTCTTTTTTGCCAATTACACCGTTATTTATTTACTGCTACAATTCTCTTAATTTTTTTTTCAATTATTTTCTAATCATTATTCTAATTTTTTTTTAAATGTTTAGTGACATTACACATGCATATTATTTATTTGCCTTTACACTTAATGTGTATGTATGTGTTATGTAGCCTACACACGCTCTCACTAGCGGGTAAATTTTATGTTGCCAAAATTTTATTGAATTCATACAGACATACACACTCCCAACTACTACGCGTGCATGTATGTATATTAGCATGTACATTATTTTACAATTTGATT